TCCTCATTGCAGATCTTTCTTGCCCTATTCGCTAGACAGCGGACCAGGTTCCTTTTTATCTTCAGTGGCACAAAGCTTCGGAAATGAATGTATTGGTCTTTCCAGGTTTTATTTCTATGCACAGAACGCTGCACTGAACGATCTGAACGACGGACGATGCAGGCATCTAGAAACGGCAATTTGTTGTTACACTCCATTTCTAAAGTAAATGTTATGTTGGGATGCGCATTGTTGAACCTATTTAATAGTTCCGTTGTATTCGATGTTGCATCGATCACACAATAAATGTCATCTACGTACCGTGTGTATAGTACACAGTTTTGGATGAATGATTGTAACTGAGTGTTTTCAAGCTTCACCGTGAATAAATCCGCGAAAAGCGGTCCCAGCGGAGACGCCATGGCTACGCAATCCTCTTGTCGATAGATCTCATCGTTAAACTTGAACTGAACATTATACGTGCAGAAATAAAGCAGTTGTTTAAGGTCATCCAAAGGGACACCGAACTCTAAATTATTGGTTTGTAAATAACTGCGCAGGTATTCAATCGTTTCGCTGATGGGAACATTTGTGAACAACGAGCTGACGTCCAGCGAGAGCATTGTTTGATCGGCCAAGTTTTATGTCACGGATTTTGTCCACAAAAGTAAATGTATCTTTGACACAGTGTTTTACCAAACTAACTCGAACGAGTGCTAATAATTTGTCCAACCACGTTGCCAAGGCATGATATGGTGAGTTGCACATATCCAAAATCGGTCGTAATGGCACTCCATATTTGTGTACTTTTGGCAATCCATACAACCTCGGAATAACAGTCCCTGTTGGCCTAATACGTTCGAAAAGGGATGCATCAATGACTCCTCTCTGCTTTAAGCATCGCAAAATCTTGGAAAGCGTCCTTTCTATTTGAGCCGTCTTATCCTTCTTTGTCAACTTGGTGAATTTTGACCGATCACCCAATATGGTATTCATCTTGTCTATGTAGTCCGTTCGATTTAGCAGCACGATCCCCGTCCCTTTACCGGTCTGGATAGTGTAACTTCTTTATTTTTCTGAAGTTCTCGTAATCGTCTGATATGTTCTATAGTTATTAAGTCATTTGTATTTAGCTTGACATTCTGATGCTGATAGCAAACATTTACTAAGGTAGATTTGGGCCTTTCCAACTCCAATGATGCAGAAGGAACCAGGTCAAAAAGTTACGCATATAAGTTTTCAAATTCCACCTCCATATCCAACTGGTTTGATCCCCTATTCGGACAAAACTTTGGTCTCAGAGATAACACTTCTAACAGCATTTTGTCCAAATTTATGCTCGATAGATTCTGAGCGTAGTGTTCTTCTTACAAATTGTTTTTGGGAGCGTACGGGGGGGGGATTATGTAGACGGGTTCTGATGGCTTCCGCTGTGGCCAGAATGCTATTTCCAATCCTCATAGATCGACGATTACGAATTAAGTAGGTGGATCGAAACTCCTCGACCACATCAACCACGTGATTCGATTCCACTAGGTGTAAAACGATTGAACGGTTGATGGTCCTAATCATTCCACTATTCCGCCAGGCCGGGTAGTGCTGGCGGACTCGTTCAGATAAACGTCTGCTCGTGCGACCAATATAACTTGTCCCACAGGAACAAGTGAAAAGGTACACACAGAAAGAGACTTTAGAAACAGGCAGTTTATCTTCGAGTTGAAAGCTCCAAAATGGCCTGGAGATAAATACAATGCGAAGTTTTGCTGTGGGGGCTGCTTTTTTTACAGCTGAACTCAGTTTACGTGACACCATCTCGGCAGTTGTGTCACCCTTAAAAGGCCGTGACATATAAACCGGTTTCTTCTCAACGGTAGTGATTTTATTTGGATCAAATGGCACATAGCCTTTTATAACTTTTTATATACTGACTATTCCACGATGGCTTCCTGTGGATTGCGCTGGATAGATCCGTCTGATCGACGACTTGATAGAACGTCTAGAAACGCGAGCTGCTCATTCTCTTCGTTCTCTAAAGTGAACTTTATATTTGGATCTACAGAGTTAAATACTTTTGAAAGTACTGACAGATTCACACTGCCATCGAAAAAACAGAACAAATAGGAAAATCACTGTCCAAAACGCTCCGGTGCCTAAAACAGAGGGATGTAATAGATGCTGCGATATTTGAACAAATACGACCAACAGGAACAATTATCCCAAGACTCGATGGCTTACCAAAGATACACAAGGATGGAGTGCCTCTCCGGCCGATCTTAGACATGTGTAACTCCCTTTACCGTGCCACGGCCAAGTGGCTGGCAGCAATCCTGGAACCCGTGAGAGCACAACTCACCAATCACACATTAAAGGATTCCTATGACTTGGTAACTAGAATTAAAAACTCAAACGTAAACGGATTACGCATGATATCTCTCGACGTCAGTTCCCTCTTCACAAACGCTCCTAGTGTTGAAACTACTGATTATTTATGTGACCACATACCAATCAATAATTGTGAAATCGGAATACCAGTTAGTGATCTCAAGAAATTGTTATATCCGTACACACACAACATACAATTTAAATTCAACGACGAAGTTGATCGTCTAATAGATGGGGTAGCTCTGGGGTCTCCCCTGGGTCCACTTTTCGCAGAGGTTTTCATGGCTAAGCGAGAGAATAACATCCTCAAACGAACAATCGATCGGTGTGCATCTGATAGGCTGTTCTTCTATCATGCAGATCGTCAAGAGCCGATATCTGAATGCATTTAGTTTTGATGACTTGTAAATTCAATATGTAAAGTAACTGAGCGATCACCTTCAAAGACCACTGGACGGTGGTTTTGTCCTTGTTTGAACTCATCACTATTAGGCGTTATCTTTACATTCTTGTTGGGATATTTGATTTGGGAGCCAATTCTGTTTTCTCTGAGCCATCAGACTAAAAAACTTTGTTCATGGGTACATGAATGCACGCTCATATCTAGTTGTACAATAAATTTTAATAAAAATTAAACCCATGGGATGTTTGAATAAATGATATTTGTGGGGATGCTCGCTTTGCTTCCCTGTGTTTTATTCCACAATAAGGACCCCGTTTCGGCTGAAGTGAATGCCGAACTTCTCAATCTGGAGCTGGAGACTATGGAAGAAGACTTTCGACTGGATTCAAATACGACGGCGATTGTTCAGGTATGCATACTGTGCTCTACCCCAGTAAATCTTTTAAAGAGTTGCACATGATATTACTGTTCGTAGTTGAACAAAATACCCTGAAGCCAGTACAAAATCAAAATAGCAGCTTATGGTTTACAAGATTTGTGTTCTTCTTTATGTTGAGTTATAGAGATGACGGCCCAAAGGTAACCAGAACTAAACTTAAACAAAAGTAGATAAAGCTAATCGCGAATCAAAATATCCTTATCATCATCGTACAGCGAGATACAGTGAAGCGAATTTCACTGATCACTGAGAAAATATGCAGTTTGAAGTTATTTATTAGTAGCTAGATTGGCGGATTGAAGCCGATAGTTGTAAAATCGCATGTTTATTCTAACGCAGTCGAGAAAAACTGCTCTCTGTATGGTTACAATAAGATGCTTCTTCAAAGTCTAGTTCATGTTGACAGAATCTGGCTGTTAAGTTATATTTTATGCGAGTTAAAGCATATTTTTTTCTTTTCAAAATTCAGAATTCGGGGTATTCTTGATATTTTGAAAACATGATGCCACCTTTTGAAAATCAATGACATGTCTTGGTGGAACATACATAACTGTTTCAGTTCAGATGGGGTTTTTTCATTGTAACCAATTCATCGCTCCCGACTCCATTCAAAGTGATCCGTGTTTACAGTTTCTGCTAGAAAAATTAAAATAGTAAATGCTAGTAGTCAATAAGGCTTTTCAGATTTTGTCAGCAAATTTGGACGTTGGGCTCAGAATGCAAAAAGGGAGACGCACGATGTCCGCAGAATAAACAGAATGTGCGTACTTATGTGTGCGGTTGTGTTGATGTCTGTTCATTTGTTCAGTTAGGTCCGCTATCAGGGTTCCGTGGAATCAGTAACCTTTATGCGGTCCGTATTGGTAGGTAAATCTGAGCGTGATGCCATTACAAATGAGGTCCAACGGTGTGTTGGGACAGAGCGGCAAACCAAGACATGAATTACTCAACCCCTTCTGTTCGACTGATAAACGTAGCTTCGGTGGTAACACTGCGTTCTTTATGTCAGTGGAAATCTTGTCTAAAATCCATGACATTTTCCAAACCTATTGTGTCATTCGCATGAACTGCACTCGAAGAGACACGCTGCAATTTTTAGAGATTCATCACATTTCTTGTTGATTTTAGTGTTCTAACACACAAGTTGATTCTGTACCTTAGCTGGCGAGATGTTTGATCAATAGGCATGAAGAGGAAATCTTTTCAGTATATGGAACATTCGATGTGACTAAACTAAACAGTATTCTGTTCCAATATACTGCATGCCTGAAATATAGGTGTTTTCACTGAAATGATAAAGTGGAAAACCAACCTGGGGGTGGAAATCTGGATCGACGGGAGTGAACGCCCGTTTATACTTCTAATTCCCTTGTTTCTAATCTTAAACTCCTCAGTTGAGATCCTTGATCTAAGCTGCACATTACCACCCACCCCTTCCACTGGACCATAACAGCAGAAAATTTCCATTTTGGTATTATTCGTCTCCGAAAACTCTTCATTTCAGCGAAAAAAGGTGCGAGTACAAGGGTGTGAATTGGACAAAGAGCAAAATGAGCACGTTTGCTGGAAAACCTATCGCTAAATGTAGGTTGCGTCCAAGGAACAAGTATCATAAGGTCCACGTTCTAAATCTTTTCTCACGTGAATTTTAACTTTTGTCTTTTGTGGTATCTGGTGGACGGAGTGTCATCTGATATGGAGTGGTCATCCTTGTCCGTAAATACCCGAAAGCTATCTCATCTCATCCAAACTACCGGCTGGAATTAGTAAGATGTTGGTGAAATAGTCTGTGAATCGCCTGTTTGAACACTCTCCTTCTGTGGTGAAGGGTACTTAAGAAAATACAGTCTATGACACGCTGTAAGGTACTCAGTTCAAAGTATCAGGCTCTGATGATCCTCCACAGCACTAGTCAGAACTGATGGAATTGGATTATTATGATAGATTGAGCTACAGAGAGAACCCACTCATCTAGTTAATGGTTATCCTCAATTTTCGAAAAGGCTTGTGCTTGTATTTTGTGTTTTATCACTATCTGTTGGCACGAAGTATGAACATAGACCGGTGTGAAACGTAGTACATGTGTGGACTGGTCACACAGAGTGAGACAGGATAGCATTTTAATGTTCGTTAACATTTTTCTTTCGTTTTCGATTCCGAGTGAGAGCAATAATTTTATTGCACCTCTTTGTCATTCTTCCCAACATTGTACGGAAATCATTATTGCCAACAAGCAGTTGATTTTCTCTGCTATTCACTTGAAAGAAAATCATAATGACACAAAAGAATGTCACCCATAAGTATGAATGGTGGATATCTGAAGACCGAGACAAATAACCGATTAGAAAAATCCATTTTCGTGTGCCATTACCAATTAGCCGAATTATTCCTTGACTGCTTGAATTAATGATCACGTTAGTAGAACCGCAGTTCATGGACTTTTTTCCAACCGTATGGTATGCATGTTTCCGTAAGGACAAGTTTGTTTTCTTCAATATCACAATCACTACAATAAACCAGGGTCACTTTTCAGCTGATTTTATATCAAAACATCTCTCTGAATGTTTGCTATGCTTTCGATAGCATATAGTTGCTGTTGCCCACAAGCCGATGCAGTCACCTGATACCTTGTCGAGATCTATTTTTAGAATATTTACAATTTATTTCAGTTCATATTCCCCTTACCGCTCATCCCCCCTTTCCGAACTAAATCTGTTCCCTATTTGTCAGTCTCATTTACAATTGGCGAAACGTTGTGAACAGCTGGTGGAACAGGCTATCCGGACGAAGGCCAACAATGAAACCATCCAAACAGGTTGCGTTACTTTATGGAATATCTGTCTACCGTTGTTACAAAAGACAACACGTCAAGATCAGTTGGTTCAACAGTGTCTTCACTTAATTGTCGAAACATTAGATCAACTTCAAAGGTAATCTTACCCTTTATAACCGAATTAGACAGGATCGACTTGTCGCTTCCATAGTTCAGTTAGGTCCGAACAATAGCCCATTAATGATCTGCTTTTATCGTGGTTCACGGTTAGCAGTCTTTTAATTAGTGATTTCAAAAAAGAATCCTTGACCATGAAATAAAGTGCGTAAACAGAGCCGGGGGACAAACCAAACAAAGAAGACATGCAAAACTCGGTAATACTGTCTAATTTTTCAAGATGTAAATCGGGTGGGCTCTGCGGACGTCAGTGAACTGATGTTTTAGGCAATATTGCTGGGGTACTGTAACTTTGCTTTCAGTGGGGCCTACTCCTTAAATAATCCCACAGCTCATCACGCGATTCTTTATTTGTTCCCACAGTTTGGCTCTTGATTCGATGACATGATAAGTAGCTGGTTTGGAATGGTATCAGTTTCAGTTTCAGTTCGATTTTCTCCCAGATGACAGACTGTCTGATTTGGAGTATGCAGACGGTATTGTGCTGCTAAGTGAAGATCCAGGTAAGTTGCAAGCTTTTCTGGATGGCTTGAGTGCCAGTTCTATGTACTATTTCACACTGGGATCAATTTTTTTCTCGTTGTTAAAATAAAAATGCAGATTGCAATTTCAAACGTTCGTTTATCATTCCATTTGGATTCGATTGGTGGGGCTCAAGCGCTTTAAAAATACCGGGTCTTAAGGTTTGAGATTCCAAACCGGTCACCACCACCCATTTTTGATGGTACGCGGCTTCACCATCGTCGGGTTACATACCATGTCTACTCTGTTGATACTTCATGCGCTTGGTTAACCCAAATCTCACGATTTAGACCGCTGGTTCTTCTAGCCAAACAAACGATCCTCATAAAAATAAATAAATCCGAGGTATATTTCATTTGGGATCATCTTGTTCGTAATATGACTGAGTATCGTAAACAGTGTAGTTCATGCATCTGCTCGGTTTCTTAGTCTTCACGAATTCTCTATTTTTACTCTGACACTGATTTCTATATTCCCTTTATTCTTCCATCCGAATGGCCGTAATGACAGCGTAAACAAAGCGGAGGCAAGGAAGTGCATAGTCAATGTTTGTAAAAAACCGAACAGAACTAAATCTCGTTTGGGACATGTTCTCATTAGCATGAGAATAAGCTGTACACGAAATCTTTCACGTTAGTTTTTACTCTGAAGGAATGCTTGCTATTCGTTTTATTTGTTCCTCTTGAATTACCGGTCTCCATTTTTTGTCATAACTGATTACTGTTTACACGCTGCATTGCGATATGTGATTGATTACAAAATCAAACATGGTGATCGTACATTGTTTCATATAATCATTTCTGATACCCAGATTTTTTAACACAGTTAAGAAAACCAGTTGGGAATCACTTGGGCTACGCACAAGTCAGTCAAGTTAAGTGTTGACCGTTCTTTACCGTTATGGTTTGTTAGAACTACTGACACTTATTGCCATAGCGATCCCGAGATGACCTCCAATTGTTTATTCGCTTCTTCATTTCTGTCCATCTTAAATTACTTTCAGTCTACATTTTCGGTTGCGATGTCAAGCCCACTTGATGCTCGCCAAATGTTTGGCTGATATGGAGAAACTTCCACAAGCCTTAGCTCATTTGGAGAAAGTAAGTAGATTTCTTTTTTTAGCGAGGGGGAAGTGGCGTTCTTTCGTTTTATTTTAACACATGCCATATGTATATGTCAGTAGATAGACCTGGACGGGTCTTGGTCGGGGCTGTTATTCCGACGTGGTTAGGGATTCCTAATGTGAGGCCGAAAAGCGGAGACAGTCTGGATAGAACAACCGATCGAGTTAGAGCTAAGATCACAGCAGCAGCGGACGCTTTCGCTTGCGCATACACACGGGGCAAGAATACGGACTTGACACAGAACCTGCACGTTTAATGTAATGACACCGAGAAAATATTCGTATTGATACACACTAAACGGGTTTAGAGAGTTTCATATATCTGTTCACCCACGATCATCTTCTGCTTAAATTATCATTTCCTGTTGTTTTGCCTTGCCTTCTTCCTAGATGCAACCGCAGATCTGTTTTAGGCATGAAATAGAAAAAGATAACAAAGTAAAGTGAATCCAAAACACAGAATCTTTTACTCTTCCAATCCAGGATCTGAGGTTCAACCGACACGCAAGAAATGTTAAAGGAGACCAAAGTTAGGCAAGTGCACGAACAAACAAAAATAGCAGCGCATAGTTTAGCGGATCGAGATGAGTCACCTTCCTGGTTGACTTTTCCGCTGTTCTGATCAACGGCCAAAACCGATATCAAGTAGTCATTTTGCTCGGGGTCAACACCGACAATGTGTAGTGAATCTCGTCATGTACGGTGCAAATGAGGTGTGAAATGAAAGGCTATTAGGCACTGTCAAGTTGTTTTGACCGCATTTGGTCTCTTGTAGCCAGGTTAGAAGGTTTTCAGCTCAGTTTAATGCTGAGGCGTGCGAGATGTGATGTCCTTAACAAGCTCGCAAAGATGGACTGTGCTATATAATATACAATGAAAGTTAAGCTGTCTAAGCAACTGCCTGGTGATCAAGTAGGTAATATGCTTTAATTTTAACTTTGAGGTCCCGGGTTCGATCCTCACTTAGGTCAATGGATTGCACAACTGATTAAAACCCATTCAGGTTGGAACAACTGTGCAATTATTCACAGCTTTTCAATTCACGCTCAGTTCAATCAATACATGACGAAACTAACCATGTAATCAAGTCCAATCCTTCACTACTCTCATGTAACAAACGATTTCCTAATGCTCTCAGATCCGAGCCCCTATACTGCGTCGTCCCATTCCCTAATGTTGATAATGTGGTATTCAAGTGTAATTTACGCGCAATACACATCAATAAACAAGTGATTTATTTATTATGTCGTGTATACTTGATTTTACCTTGGACCCACGCTAAGTTTCTCATCGAAGATATCATACCATTCACCTTTTTTCATCTTGTTAAACTTAATCTCTCATTGTATATCCGAACTCCATCGTCAGTAATGTATAAAATATCCTTTGGATGGTTCGTATTTGACCGTTAGTTACAAGAAGTTTAAGAATGATTCACAAGGTGTTCAAGTGTAAATGTGTTTGGCAGAAGCGTAACCCAAGCAGATACAGGGTAATCAACAACTTCCTTTATTGGTACCAGAGGGGTTTCCATAAGTTGCTAGTAACCACTTCGGTTAATAGTAGAAAAGCCTTCTGTGCCATCAAGAAATCGTGCTCATATTCCTGACCATACCCTCGTTTCACATGGATTTGACTATTTTTTAAGTCTCCCAACTACCCTACATAAGCCGTTCATTTACTTGCTGTGCGGACATCCGCTGAGATACCGAAAAAAACGTCGAGAATATAATTTATGCCATGTTGCTATACTGAATAACCTTTACCCCAAACTGATAAGCAAAAAGGCGAATAAAAACAAAATTCAATTTTTGAAGCGGTTGAAACATTGATCACGGGCACAGCAGCAATTACCAACTTGGGCTGGCGAAAACATGCTAAACTGTATCAAACAAGAAATTGTCATGCATCGACTCAATGTTCTTGAAACCTTAGTCTTCATGAATTATCTATTTCCAACCCGAAACTCCTTCAATCATTTTAGTCTTCCCTTTACTCCCCCAGTCAAAAGTTTAGCCAAGATACAGTGGCCAGAACCGGCACACGAGATCACACTCCATCCAAGAAGCCTGACGCTATCTGCGCGAGAAAGTCCCCTGTTCGTAGTCCTCATATCCACCTTTTACTACTTTTCATCCACCACAAGCCTCGGAAAACAAAGTGTAACTATCTGCCTCAAGTGAACGGTGTACATGTGAGAACCAAGCTGGTTTTAGACCCGGTTGAGACTGAAACTTTCACACTGTCACCATTCGCTAATCCAAAGGCACATATCTTATTTTCCGAGACCCGCTACTTTTATCTTCCTCAATTTTAAAGCGGCCTCCGACACAGTCCACTGTTGTAGCCCCTGGCGCATCCTCGAAGGGTTTATTTTAAAGAAAAAAGGTAATCAGCCTTGCTTTGTTGTGGTGGTTTCAGTAATTGACATAAGTATTGGGCTTGTTTGTGAAACACTATCAAACCCAGATTAAGCATGATTTTCGTCTGCCACAGGCACAGGTTGGGATGCAATAAAAGCCTCGAAAAAATTGTCATCGTGTTCCGTTTGAGGAGGTAGGTGATCACGTAACGTTTAGTGGCAATTAGTACACATGTGGCCGGTTTGTGGGGCGGTGGGCAGCCGGTAGCGCAAATACGGAGGTAGGTAGGTAGGCAGGCAGGCAGGCAGGCAGGCCAACTACTGACTCAAGTATATCAAGACATCCGAATGCGATCAAGTAGGTAGTCAGACAATCGATGAATCAGTCAGTGCGCACAGTTCAATACCAACATCTGACTTACTGGAGCGAATCCATGGCGTAATAGTGCATGCTCGCAAGATATGAATGCGTGCGTGTGGTCAATCAGTTAATCAATCAATCGATCAATCAATCAATCAAAAGGTCGTTAGCATCCCCGAAAAGCTTTGTAGTTAACCATAGGTCACAACAGTGGTAGTGAAGTTTCACGATGCTTACTTTACTTTTCAAATTTATCACCAGGAAGGCCAACTTCCGTGTTATTGAAGTCAATAGTTTAATAACTTAGTATCCCTCCATATCTACTCTCCTCCTGTGTGTTGTGCTTAAAGGACTAATTAGTCCAAACAAATAACCGTTCATTATCCGTACGCCTCAATCGCTTTTCACTCGAGTCCAACTTGGAACATTGTGAATGATTACCATTTGTAGACTGACAATGCGATTTTCATCTCCTCACTCTTCAGGTTTTCACCTTCGATGACACTGACGAGTTTACCGAGGGTGCAATACATATGTACAATCGATTACAACTTCGTGCCACCATCTATGAGATACCAGATCGTATCGAAGATCGTGCAGCTCAAATTCTGGAACATTTGCGTTCCGTTACTTTGGAGGATTTATCGGCTAGAAAGTTGGCAGAACTATTTCAAACGGGAACGGATGGCTTGTTCGAGAAAAATTTTCATCCAGCCAATGGACAATCCCAAATGACCATAGTGAGTGCCCATCTGCTCACCGAGGTTCTGAACCCGTCACCCAAGACGGTTACACCTCTTGACATTTTACATCAAAATTGAATTCACTGTGCGAAGCGGTGCCATGTGGCCAACGGTGCCGCCTCGTTAAATTATTCTCTTAATCTCACAAATGGCAACGTTTGAAGGCCCCCATAAGAAATAAATTGATTTCAGAAGCCAAAGTTATACAGCCCACACGTTCTCAGTTAAAAGCTAATAAACACTTGTGATGTTCTCTACCATCCTATTATCTCTTCCTTGGATTTATTTCAAAGCCCTAGTGAACAGATACAGGCCAAATCTTTTTCGGGAAGGTTTTTTCTTATTTGAGCGCCAGTACAAAAGCTTTGTTTTAGACAAACACTGTCTATTATACATCAAATGGCATCACAACATAAAACATTACAGTCAATCTCCTGCTATGTCGCACTCATCGGGAAGTCGAAAAACTGTCTGAATGCCCTAAACTATGACATAGTATACTTTTACGCCTTCAAGTAGTATGCTAACTTGGTTGGGATATTTTTCATACAGTATACAGGATCGTTGAAAACTGTGAGACTTTCGTCACGTGTTCCCAATACTAACTGTTGCAGTTGATTGCAATCAAAGCTTTGATATGTGGTCCAAATTATTGTATTCTACCAAGAGGGAGCAATCATACTGAACCTAAAGCGGTTTTTGAGTCCTTTTTAATCAGTTGTCAAATATGAAGCAGACGAGTGAGAATGATTTGGACCGGTTTCAAGTAAAACTAGTGGATGTGGAGAATCAATATCGAATTACAATAACCAAGCAGACCTCCTTACTGACCGATGCACACATCGAAGGACTAAAACAATTAAAAGCCAATCTAAATATAATAACGTCACAAAAATGGAGCACAGTTGACCATTCAGATTAGTTCCCACATGTCTGATGTACTGCGTAATCCATTGGAAAAGCCGCATTCAAGGGTAACCACGCAATCGAAAACCAGTGAAATATCTGCTGCTGGCTTTAAGTAGTATATTGGCGTCTTTTCCTTTTTCCAAGCTTTCATTGTTCGCTGTACAATGTGCTCATGATTTTCTCGTGAAAATTAAGTACCATTGTTGCCGTTGCATACTAACAAGGATGGATACACACGTAATGTCCAGAGTTCGTCCACATCAGTGCTGTGACCTTAGTGACTAATTAAGCTCAACGCGTGATGCTATAACGTGATTCACGAAGTAAAGGTGCATCGCTCAGCGTTAGGGTCTCGTTCGTTAAATCCAGGTCGTAATTACGATGACCTTCGACCAGTGAACCGTCCACTTTTGTCAATGTTCGCACATCCATTGGTACGTGAGCGTCAGTGCGACGGTGGTTACCGATCGGTCCAAAATGTAAATCAACAGTCCTGCTTTTCGGCTGGGACAGTCGTTCAGCCGTTTCGCACAGCTACGTCAGTGCGACAGAAACGCTAAACAGAATTTCGATCCTGTCAACCGTGATTGGATGACCACAAAAGCTGGATAAAAACATTGGATATATATAATATATTATATTTTCACACACGTCTGAATCCAGACAAATGCCAAACAAATCATGGTACTGTCAGGTTGCCAAGGTCAAGGCAGGTGAATTTTCTTGAGGAATCAACAACTGGGGGCCAAAGCCTGACCAGCAAGGCAGCGATGCGGTGTGCGAAAACCGCAATCCATTGGAGTCCGGTGATCAGTTCATCGGATCACACGCCCTTCGCACGAGGTCAAACGTTCAAGGTGCCCAATACACCTCGATGCCCAATCGAGCCGGTGACCACTGCCACAACCGGAAAGGTGTGGGTGTGTTTCGTACGCCTCCTCTTGTTTGGTTTGGAATCAGGGTTTTTAGGCAACTTCCCTAGGTGAGCTACCACCGGTCCACCAACACGGTTATCACCCCGGATGTCGGCTATTCGTCCTCTCACTTTGATGGGAAAACACCTCCGCCACGAGAAGGCAGTGAGTAGGGCTTCCTCAGCAGAGGCTATTTGAGATGATTGATCATATGGGAGCATTTCGCAAGGTGCAATAGAGGGTGACTAGCCGCAACCCTAGACAATCACCCCCGATTATATTGAGGCTTTCGGAGGCAAAAATATTGCATCGTCCCTTTAGTATTCCACAAAGACCTGTGTCAATTAAAAAATCAATTTTTAGCAAAATCTCAAATCACCATTTGTCTGATATTCATTCTCCGTCGAAAACCCACCCTGGTTAAGTCCATTGTATACTACATTATTCGACCTGAAATCCAAGCTTTAACCAAGGCATTATATTTACTGAGGATTTGATTTGATTACGTTTAAGGAGCAAATAAAGCATGAACTAGAAAGCTAGGAAAGCACTGACCGGCTGTTTCCATCGGGTTGGGTCTCATTAGGACAGAATTGGTAGAATATTATCGAATAACCAGATTCTTCGTCATCCTAATTCTAACCAGTCAATTTCTTCTAAAAGACACTCATCAATAGACAGAATGCATCAAATCCTCGATCAGATGGCATCTATCCCTTGATGGCGGCATTTCTGCCGAATTCAATCCGGGTTTGAAAACGGCTTTTATGAAAGCATTGATCAGGACGTACGCACGAACAGACATCCAATCCTTTTTAACCAGATACATGGCCACGAATGTCCATCTCAGCTTATATGTAAGAACCCTCAACTCAAACCAAAGAAAAAAAACGGATTTCATTAAATGGCATCGGAACGAACACACTGGTGTTTCGACATACTGGTTTATTTAAACGTTTTCTCCAAAACAGTCGACTAGACCGCAGGCGTCACTCTTTCAGTCTCAGAGTTTTTAATACTCTTTTCCACCTCAAGTTATTTGTGTTCCAGTCATCGATTCTTTCAAGTCACGACCCGATGAAGCATTGAAACACCTAGCTGTTCAGCACCCATGAGTGAACGTTATAATTTACTATTTAATTGTACTACCAACCGAACCCAGTGTGTTGAAATCCTATGGGATTCAATAAGTGTCAGCTTTGTAATTTACCCATAGTAAAAATTTGAAATTTGAAGTTAAACATTAAAGAACAGTCTGGAGGCAGCCTTGCTAATTTTACATTCGAGAATACTGCTGTTTTGTAATGGCAAGGTGTGATGTCTAAGAACAGTAAAATGAAGCGTCCTGGAGAAACCATTTTGTGGTTGATATCAGGTAGCAGAATTTATCCATGCATTTTTAAGAGATTATTATTGTAGAGTAGGTTTTCGCCATCTACACCTAGGAGACATCATTGAGCTTCCTTGAAATACTAATAGATTTTGTTACAGAGCCGTGGATTACAGCTGGTTGATTCAGCATTTCGAACGCATTATGCTTCCTTCTGATAGATGGTAGATGCACTGTCGCGTCAAATGATATAGTCTTCAACTGCTGTGTGTGTGCACGTTTCTCTCAAGTGTCATCCAATTAGTGAACAGTGTCCTGTGTGCACCACAATAGTTGAATGAAAAATTGCATGTTGATTGGTCACCAGCTAACCTGTACATCGGTCGAGGGTCAAGTGAATACGCATCAGGGCCTGCGATATACGGAAGAATCCAGATTGCATAATCAGGACCTATGGTTGATCGGGGTTCAGTAAATAGTGGGAACGTATTGGGAAATTTAACCTCTCACGAGGGCGACAACAAGAGATTGTACACGAAATCATAGGCGGGCAACATTTTGATTCATGCAGTGTGTGAGAAGTCAGCTACATTTATTCTAAGTCTAACGATTTTCACCAAATTTTAAAGAATGGATGGACCGATAAGGGAGAACCGCTGAAGTTCCCTCAAAAAGCTCCAGAATGAGGTATTAAGCAAATATGGTACGCTTAGTGAACTACCCTTAGGTGATTGAAATAACACTAGAACTTACCGTAAGGATAGAAGAGGCAAGTATTTATCCAATGCCATACTTCTCAAATCACAGAACACGCAAGTCTAATATCTTGTGGCAGGCCTTGACGTCTACTGCGTTATCCATTCACAATGCCTAGAAAAAGTCGTATGGAACTTCATTCGACCGAAACAGAAATCGACGAAGATTTAGGGGTTCTCAGCTACTATATCGGTTCTCAAAAAGGAAGAATAACTTGAAACCTACATGGTTATGCTTCGTCGAAGCTAACCAGCGGTTTGTATCCACCGATCCCACTACAAAACCGAATAAATTATCTTGTGAAGAATTCCACGACCGAGACGTGTGTGCTCACCCAAGACAACATGATGGACAATAATTTTCTGGAGTCCATTATCGGACATATCGTATATAACGTACGCTTGGTCTTATCAAAACCCCCATCCACTTTTTCTGCTTTAACTATAGCGGGATTTATTGTCTCGAGTCGGCGAAACATTGGCCCCAAATTGCTTTCTAACGGCTCTGGAACGGGAAACGCTTTTGACCGAGACGCTACGGGAACAGGATAGACTAATCACAGACAGGCATTCCATTTCCGGGACAATTACATCCGGATTGTACACGGGAGAAGTGGTTCGCCAGCTTGCAAATCGGGCCGAACAATGGCAAAAGTGCATGGAAACGGTCCAGAGTGAAGCAGTACAACAATTGGTACAAAAATCTAAGCAAGAAGGAACTTTCAAAGAAAGGTGAGCAATTCGAAAGTGACCAAACATCTTGGCTTTCTCGCTTCCCTGTGATAAACAGTAAATTGGGTGGACCGAGTGAGAAAATAATATATTGAATGGTTATATGTACAGAATGATACCTTGAATCCTCACACCTGTAATGACAAGCTATGTAAGACTCGACAGGGAAAGCACAGTTTAGAGCCGAGTTTCATCGAAGACGTCTACGACTGTAGTCGCATTTCAGTACAGATCAGGGATGGCGAGTAAAATCGCTTAGAGCCCATCATTATCAATAACCATTTGACAAAGCTGTCGATATTCCATCAAGGATTATTTGCTATTCACTTTAGATGCGAATTTATCTCGCACTCAATATACGAATTCAAGTGTAGCACACATTTCCTCGTTCATATTTGTCATCTGTATATATATATGTATATATTCGTCACAAACACAAAAAATTGCAAAAGGTGAAACAAAAAATTCTGTTATCTTGTATTTTCCCATGTTTGACTGTTTCACCCCCCTTTCACTATGTTCTGTACCCCAATACAACTATCCCGTTTTATTTTTCTTGTTATTATTGTTGTTGCGTTGGCACCATGCTTGTCTTCAAGCCGGTGGTATATATATATATA